GTTCCAGTCTGAGGAGGATGAAAAAGGCAGCAAGAAGCAAGTGATGCAGAATTTCAGTCCTGCTCTGAAACAAAGTACAGGGCAAGAAATGCATGGAGGGACATGGGCCAGAGGGTATAAACAACATCTCCTGTTAACCTTCAGCATGAGACAGAGAGGGAGGGAGAGAGGGAGGGAGGAAGGGAGGGGGGGGAAGGAAGGGAAGGAGAAAAAGAGAGGAAAGGAGGGAGGAAGGGGTGGACAGAAAGAGAGAGACTTGTTGTCAACTTCATGTCCCGATTGCTTTCCTGATGAGCAACTGAAACTCATCAGCTGCCCCAAGTATGCAGCTTCTGCACAAGCACCAACACCTCTGTAATAGTCAGCTTTCCCAATTCTGCAACAAGGCACCTGATATCTGCAACTTAAAGGAAGAGGAGTTTATTTTGGCTCACAGTGTCAAAAGTTTTTGTCTGCAGCCAGCTGGCTCAAAAGCACCTGCTGTTGAGCAGAAGTGTCTGGCGGAGGAAAGCTGCTCACTTCATGATGGCTGAAAGCAGATCAGGTCGGAAAGAGCACCAGTGAGAGATGTGCTTTCCAAAGGCCCCATCTCCTGACAGCACATGCAGCCATGAACCTTAGTGGATTAACCCACTGATGAGTATAGACCCCATGGTCCAATTGCTTCTCCCAGGATCCCTTAATCCAGTCAAGTTCCATTAAAATAACTGTCCCTCGCAGGACAAACTGGCCAGTTGGGAACATAAGAATAGTGGCTGCAAGGGTGCAGGAGTAGAGTATGCTGTTGGCACCTGTGATTCATGTCTGCCTTCATTATGTGGCAGGCACTCTGACCACCTATAAAGCCAGCAGTGGGCTCTTCCTGCTCCACGATGCTCAGATCCCTCCAAGCTGTGGGAACTGGAAAAGAAATTGGTGTCCTCTTCGATCAGTGCTGCCTCATTCAGGTTTCTACCTGGAATAAAGTCCCTGAAAAACCCATTGCTCAATTCTGCTTTGAGGGCTGGGGATTTAGCTCAGTGGTTCTGCCACCTGCCTCACAAGCCAAGGACCCAAGTTCAATCCCCAGTACAAAAAAAAAAAAAAAAAAAAAA